GTACAAGGACAACAAAGTCCCTCTGGACGCTAACACACAGTTGAGATTGTGCGACTTTGTTTCAGCGGTTAGGATTGTTGGGAATTTTTTTGTGGCATAAGGTCACAAAATCATCTGCAGAAATATCACAAATCAGCTGTTTTGTTTGATTATTTTGTACAAAAAAACCTACTGATCGCAGTTTGTTATTGGTGTTGTACAATTCCTGGGAAAAGAAACCGTAGAGGATCACAGAGTTATTTGGAGGGGGGATGCAGTAGTGCGATAGGGATGTGAAATGTCCTTCCTCGATTTTTCAGTGCTGGTGGGTTTGAGGGAATACAACAGTCTCTGCAGGAATTGAGATTCAGAAGTGTTCAAGCTGACCAGTGCAGCTTTCCAGTTTCTGATTTTTGAACCATGTCCTCAACGTCAGTTACAATTATAAGCTTCCTGGCATAACTTTGCAAAGGAGTTCACATCATAATTAAGGCATTAATATGATTTTGATGGGGAGGGGGCATCAGTGAAGGCATTGTACTGTAATTTAGTATCCCCATGTTCCTCCACTAAGATCAAATTCATAACTACTTTCATCTAAAACTGTTCAATTTGTGCTGGAGTCGTGGCTCATCGTGTGGACTTTTTGCTCATCAACTTGATGTTTCAGAGCTTTTTTTTGGTCAGCTGGGTGTAACACGTGGAAAACCATCACCGTGCTTAAGAATATCCAAACCAAGCTGAGAATTCCATGCATTCCACCTACACATGGGAATTCAAGATAGATTGTTGGAATGGGTACTCTCCCCCTGGAGGGGTACATAATGCTTACCTAATTCCGAAAAGCATTAGGTGCAGGTTGAAAAGAGCCAAGGCTTGGGGACTCCAGAATGTGTGTTGGGGTACTCCTGGAGTCTAACCAGCTAAAACCGCATAGCTTGCCATTGATATCACTGTCTGGCAAGCTTTCCCACTGTTTGTCCAGCTAGGACCACCCTACCTGTTATGGCTTTGGCTTACAGGGTTAACAGTTGAGTGGGATGACTCCCTAACCCCAGTGATGGGCTGGCCTTCCAGGCCCTGCCAATGAGGCTGACATCAACAGTGTCCTGGAATACTGTGCTAGACCCACTAGGCTCAGAACTTTCCAAGACCTCCACTGAGAGTTG